TTCCCCGAGGCCCTCTCTCTCCCACCTTCGAAGAATCGCCCGGATTTCCCTCTGGATCCGAGGGCCCGCGGCTGCAGCCCCGGGCAGGTTCGTTCCCCTCCCAGCCACCAGGGACCTGGGTTTGGGGGCGCCAGACCTTGTTGACTTCGTGGAGGGGGGCCAGTGGTGCTTGAATGCGGGGCGGGTGGGGAGGCACCCATTCGCCCATCCCTTGAGACCGGTTTAGCGCGCGGGTTACGTGCAGTCTCCGCTCCCCCCGCCCCCCCCCTTGTGTTCCCAAGGCCTGCCAGCTGGGTCAGGGGGCCGCGGGGGCGGAGATGGGGAGCCGGGACAAAAGGTGCCGCGGGTGAGCGAGCCCAGCTGGGCCACACGTTCGCTTGTGGGGGTGAGGCCGGTGAGTACCTCCATCTCCCATGGGGCAGCCTCCCGTCCCTGTCCCTGGGCCTCTGCCTGCATCGCCCAGCTGTGCAGGAAGGTGGCCTCCGGCACTGCATCCTGGGTTTCACCGTCCCTGAGCTGCCCCAGGGGCCAGTGGAAAGCAATCTCACTCTATTTCCAGATCCTCTTCATGGTCCCCTGAAGCCCAGGTGTGGCTGCGGCACTGAGAGGTCACTGCCCATCTCTGGTCCTGGCTGGAAAAGGTGGCACCGGGCACCAGAGTGGCACGTGTGCCAGGCCCACGCTGTCCGTCTCCAGCCTTGACCCTTCCTCCAGAGGAGGAGAGGGAGAGCAATGGGGTAAAGGCCCCGGCAGGGTGACCTTCCGTCTCGTGACCCAGAGGTGGTGACGAAAGCTGGGCTAGACGGAAGGGACAGCTTAGGGTGGGGGGTGGCCTGAGAAGACCTTTGCCCTTATCTGGGAATTTTGGCTCAAGTGAGAAGGAGACTGCGCTGCTCCTCTCCAGGATCCTGAGAGGGAAGCCCTGGCTCCTGGGAAGGGTCTCCATACTCAAATGGTGTGGAGCCCGGCCGGGTGGCTCAGTCGTTGAGCGTGGACCTAAGAACCAGGAGGTCATGGTTCGATTCCCGGTCAGGGCACATGCCCAAGTTGCGGGCTCGATCCCTGGTGTGGGGCGTGCAGGAGGCAGACGATCAGGGATTCTCTCTCGTCATTGATGTTTCCATCTCTGTCTCCCTCTCTCTCCCTCTCTCAAAACAATAAAAGTATGTGTGTGTTTTTAAATGCTGTAGGAATGGAACAGGAAGGAAGATAGAGGAGCAGAGACATGATGGGAAGCTGGGCTTGCAAGGGCAGGCCTTCCTGATGAGACTAACGGAAGCAAATAGCCCAGCCCAGGCATGTGGGGTGAGGACGAGTACCCCAAGTCCGGGATATTAACCTGCCTGGCAGCCTTTGCCACTGGCTCGCTGGGTGACCCTGGGCAAGTTGTTGCCCCTCTCTGGGCCTGTGACGTGAGGGGTGGATACGGATCTCGCAGGCCCTTCCACTTACCTTGCTCGGTTGAGGGTCAGTCTTGGGGATAGAGACGGATGAGTTCATCCTTGAACTTTGCTCCAGCCTTGGCTCTCCACCCACTGAGTTTCCCTGCCTTTCCAGACACACATGCCATGGAATCACAGCCAGCAGTTTCAGAATACCTCCCGCAAGTCAGACTCCTCATGGCTGTTACCTCTGGCACACACAGCGCCCTGGCGTGCCTTGGAATACGTTTTAATGGGCGAAGAAACAGACTCAGAGATTCAGCTACTTGCCCACGGCCACAATGAGCACAGGCCCAGGCTCTCCCCACGCTCGCTTTGTGGCTTTGGGTAAGTTGTGGAGCCTCGCCAGCCGCAGTTGCCATCCTTAAGATGGGGGTAATAATATCCGCCTCCTGCCAAGGGTCGGGGTAAGGGTTGAGTACCGTGGTACGGAACTGGTGCTCTGCCAGTTTTCAGTGATTGCTACTTTCACCATCCTCTGCTTCCTCCCGTGTCTACACTCTGAGACCTTCCTCCGTGTTAGGTGTGGCAAGTCTTTTGTAGGAGGGGGAATTATTTTTCATGTCTGCAAAGCCATGGAGTCCTAGT